GTTACACACTTCGGGGATGTCTTTGATGTCTTTCACGTCTTGTTTCTTGTCTACTACGTGGGCCAAGAAGGCGTGGTACTCCTTCCGGAGATACTTTTGGGCTTTGATGCATGAGATGATTTGTAAATTCGCACTAGGTTTGTCACCATAGATGAGAAGGGTTTCGTCATTTGGTAGATTGAGGCGAACGGCCCTTTCGTAACATAGAATGTCGGCACGGTGAGGAACTAACCAATCCATCCCGATGATTACGTCGAAGCTTTTTATGGTGACCGGCATCAGGTCAATTTTAAATGTATGGTTGTCTAGAGTGAGAGTACACTCTGAGTATATATCGCTAGTGCGTTCTACTTTCCCATTTGCCATTTCTACTACATAAGTATCCTTTAGTGATTGGGGATTTTGTTCAAGTAATTGTTTATATTGGTGGCTCACGAAACTCCTCTCCGCTCCACTATCGAATAGTACGCATGCATAAGAGTTATTGAGGAGAAACGTACCGGTAACCACCGTGGGATCCTCGACTGCTTCCCCATGTCCTATTGCCAGGACTCTTCCTACTCCACCAGCATTAGGGGCTTGTGCTTTGGGGCAGTTTCTTTTGAAGTGACCGGCGTCTCCACAGTTGTAGCAGGTTCGGGTTGCCCCCGTACTGGCGACTTGGTTGATTGGTCGAGCCGGCGCTTTACAGAAACGAGCAGTGTGCCCCTTCCTGTCGCAGTTGTTACAGTGCATCTCCCTACAAGCACCATTGTGGTGAAAGTTGCACTTGTTGCACTTAGGTAGGGTTCCAGCATATGGCTTCGGTGGTGCTGGAGTGGTAGCAGTAGTGGCAGCATTAGTGGCAGCATGGACAGCAACAGTTTGTTGCTTCTTAGCGGGGTCCTGTGCTGGTTGGCTCTTCTTTTGGTTCCAGAACTTCCTTTTGTTGTTTCCCCCTTTTGATTGATCAGTGGTGGTGGTTGTAGTATTATGACCGGCTCGGTGGTCAACAAGTTGTTGTGCCAGCTCCCTGGCACTGTCAAAAGTAGTTGGCCTTGAAGCCAGGACACTACTTTGCACTTGGGGAGACAGTCCCCAAAGGTATCGCTCCACCTTTTTCTCCTCCGGAGTAACCATTGTTGGGCAGAGGAGAGCCAATTCATTGAATCGGGTGGTGTAGGTTTCAAGGTCGGAGCCCGTCATCCTGAGGTTCCAAAGTTCTTGTTCCAGCTTTTGAATTTCACCTCTCGGGCAGTACTCCTTCATCATCAAGGTTTTTAGTTCTGCCCAGGATATGGAGCTAGCCACTTCGAGAGTAAGTGAATTAATCCGACAGTTCCACCAAGTAAGGGCCCGGCCGGTGAAAGTGAAGGCTGCGAACTTAACTTTGCTCGCTTCGGGGCAAGAGCACACTTGAAAGACTACTTCAGTCTTTTCAAACCATTGCATTAAAGTGATGACTCCCCCGCTCCCATTGAAGTTGTCGGGTTTGCCATTGGTGAAGTCTTTGTAGGAACACTCTCTTGTACGCCACGTACTGTCTCCGTGGTTAGAGTTTGTAGCACCCGATCCAGAACCACCAGCTCCGTTTGTCCCTATCTGCGATATTGCGGCCGCTACGGCTGCTGTTACTGCAGCCTGGAACATCGCAGGATCAAACTGTGGAGGCAGCGGCGGAGGAGGTGTTGCTATGTTGCCGGAAGGTCTTGGTCTTCTCCTTGGCGGCATGGTTCTGTCGTAAGTCGTAAACCAATGTACTTTTAGTAAAAGTATATTTATAGGAAGAGAAATCTTTTATACATAAAGTATATTATTACGTTGTTTTCCGGTATGTTTACGATACATACGATTTTATACTTTTAATTGACCCAATACATTGGGTTATGAGGTAAAATGAAAGTATAAAATATTTTATTTGAGTCTCCTTGTTTCCAAGTATATGACTGTTTGTAAAAGTTTTACATATACTAATTTAGTCGGGACATAATTAATATATTATATTTTAAAATGATCTTTATCGGTTACTAAATTAGTTGCAAAGTGCATACCAGTCATATGTGATTAAGATATAATAGTCCTTCGAATAGATGACCCTAACTCCAAGACCACAACCAAACAAGGACAGGAAGTGAAACAAAGATACATAAATTCTAAGTCTATAGCATCTTAGTTACATATGACCTTAGCGCATCCACTTAGCAGCTATTGATCTATAAATAAAGACCTATTTAATTCTCAGATAATTTATTATAGTAACACAAAATACTCCTATAGTATTTGTAAATGTTTAGTTTTGAGTTCTTAAAGTATTCTTTTGTAGTGTGTTATTAGGTTTGTTAGATTTGTTGTCCATCCTGACCATCCCCCGGTATATGCAAGTAAATTCCCGGACAGATATAGTTGATCAGGCTATATCCTTCCCAGATTTAATCCACATATACTAAGGCATACTCAAAATGTTCAACTCTTCTTCTTTTGCTTTATGTTTTCGCTAGTTATGATACCATGCGAGCATGTAATGTATGTATGTATACTTTAATCAAGAAAATCATTTATTTTCTAAGAGTATATTTATTTGAAAAATGCACAAATCAGAGACTATTAGTCCCAATTGTGTTTATAGTTTGTATATCTTATGTGGTTTGATATACTTAATTTACTATAAACTGTGCTCTGATACCAATCTGTCACACCCCCAAACCAAGGATGGCGGAAACGTCCGGGGGTGGATGACTTCATGTATAGTATCATAACAACAATTGTAATAGTAATTGAAGCAAACACAACCAACATATATATAATTGAAAAAGTGACATCATTGTATGAATTACATGTTTACGAATCAATTACAATATGTTGACAAAATATGAAATAGTAGACGCCTTAGCGCCCCATCCTCAAAAGCACTTGGTTACATGTTTAATGATTTCCTGAGAATACAAGTTGTTTGAAAAAGTGTCAACACAAAGGTTGGTGAGTTCATAAGTTTTTGTTTGGTATTATTAAAAGCCTTTCGTTTGTAAAAGTAGTATTTGTGTTAGAAATTCCAATATTTTCCTTAATGTGTAAATGTAGTCTTAAAACCCAAAGACCGAAATGTACAAGTAATTTGTCATATTTATAGTAAAACAATACAAGTTTAAATCGACATAAACTCGTTAAATTTTAATGAAGTTCCCGTAAATTCCAATGTTTATTAATACTTTATGTGAGTTTATTATAACCATACTATGACCAAGGTTGCCTAAAACGACGTTCTTCAGGCGTCGGAAATGTTATGACATTTGTCACCCCAGACCTATCGGTCTAACTGTTGCATGCAGTTTAGGTGTGGGTTTGTCAAACCCAATATAGATCTATACACAACTATCACGCTCTCCCTCAAGGAGACTCTGGTTACAATACAGGACTTAATGGTAATTTGAAGTAAATGTCTCACAAAGTCATTAACGGAATTACGTGTTATGAAAACTTGGTACCGTATGGCCGTACCTTGCTTAATGAAAATATCCTTTGTATAAATGTACCCTTTTTAAATGTATGTGTTATGTAATGTATCATAAACTATACCTATTATAGTTTATCAACCAAGGGTAGTACGTAGTAATGTATGCAAACTATATTCAAAATAGTTTATTAAATGTTTGAATGTATCGGTTGTACTTTGATTATAATCACTTGTTATTCTTTATATTTTATATGTCCAAATCCATTTGTAAACTGATGTGTGTGTAAATATTAAGATAAAATGTCATATATTGCAATAACATATAATCACATAAAGATATACACCTTGCTCAACATGTTACAAGGTGAAATGAAATTGACAGCAACTTTTCGTTGAATACAGTTTCTGTTACTATTCTTAGAAAATTTATAGAAAAATCATCAAAGCTCTAAATCCAAATCCGCAAATTCTGAGAGTTTGGAATATGAGTCTAGTTTGTTCGTAAATTTTATCATGATTTTTAGTGATCTCTAACAAAGGTAAAAATGTTCATAATCACAGACTGGTCCGGGTTTGCCTCTGAAATGATAGGCAGTTTTGTAAAAATCACCATAAATTGTAGAAAAATCATATGGAGATGTGCAAGTAGCCATTTTAAAGCTAAGAGTTTGAACTACTTGCACCTGGAACAGTTTTGAAAACTAAAATATTTAAGTTGACCAAAACAGTCCGTGATCAAAGTTCATCTTTTCTGATGTAATCTGATAGAAAAAGTTTAATTGTGTTCTTGATGATTTTACTTGTATTCCCCCCTTAAAACTTAAGAAGAACATGTAAATGTAGGGGTATGAACTCACCTTATGTGTTCTTAGAGGATGGATGTTGGAGAAGAGAAGTGTTCAACTCGAAAACACTTAGAAGATGCCTTGACGAATCGAGAACCAATAGTGGAAGAAAGCTTGATGATTAACCTTGGAAGTCTTGAAATTGAGAGAGAATGGTGTAGAAAATGAGTGACTTAAGCCTTGTATTTATACTAGTAAGAATTACTATTCATATATAATTCTTTAATAATAAGTGTTAAATGTTGACATTCTCCATATAACTAGTTAGTGTATATGACATATTCATGATGTAATCATGACAAATGTTTCTAGAAGATGGTTAATACTAATTGGCTAATAATAGTAATTTTTAAAACGTAAATAGTAAATAGTAGGTAGTAAATAGTAAATAGTAAATATGATGAGATTTTTACAATTTTCATATTTGTAAACCCCGTTAAGCCATGTTTAAGAGTCTTACACAGCCCCCGATAATTGTGCAATACTGTTTTATGGCTTTGGTTCGTTGTTTAGCACTGTTAAGGCTAAGGAAAATCAAACACATGAATTTTCCAAATGATGTTTTCTCATTAAAATAGCGAATTGTACAACGTAAACCTTAACATACAAGGGTTAATGGAGTTGACCGGTTTGACTTGTTGACTTTGTTTGACTTTGACTTGACCGAAATTTGACGGTTGTCACAATGTTGATGGAAGATCTTAGTTGCTGACGTTGAAAACTGGATGGATGATGAAGAATCATCTGAAGAAGATGGAGGAAAAGAAAAGTATTTGATGGCTCACATTGATGTTCCGGTCACTGATAAAGAAAGCAAAGGATCTAGTACCTTTGAAGTTGATATGGCCAAATCCATCGAGTATTCAAAGATACAGGATTGGGATTCCTTGTCCTTATATCAGGTAATCAAGTTCATCACTTACTTTGATAATGAAAAATGTATCGTGTTTAATTACCTATGTGATCATCTGTCAAAATTTAACCAAGAAAAGCACTCTCTTAGATTAGAGATTGACACACTGATGGGAAATTTGTCTAGCATTGAAAATACTCTTGCTTTAACTAACACTAAAGTCACCAATCTATCTTTTATCGATATTTATCTTCACTCTAAAAAGGATAAAGCTGAAATGTATGATGACAAACCTCAAGGTATCATGAATAATTGGGCTCACTCTCACCATAAGTTAAATAAAATAATAGATGCTTAGATACCTGATTAATGTAAAAAACTTCTTTGTGGAAATATTGATAAGGCTATCAACATTTATAAATGGATTGAAACTAAAAAAAAATTTCCTTTCTCTCATGATCTCAAGGAAGATTTTAAGTCTAGGTTCGTTATTCACTCATTCATAAATCAATCTCTCATTAATAATCATTGCACGACTAATCATGATGGTGTCACTATTTGCACTACCAGTCTAACTACTTTAGATCCTACTATTAGAAACCATGCATTTGAGATTCCTACCCTAACCACTGAAATGTATCTCAAGTTTCCCATTTCTAATGTCGAATTTCACTCTACACATGAGATACTCAGTGAGTCCCCAGAATGTACTGTTAATTGTCATGACACTAATAATTCTCATTCCTCTGACACTAATGAATCTTTGGGTACATCAGCATCTCAAAACCCCTCCACATCCTGTCACATAGACAAATCCTTTGTTTCTAGGGCTTGTTCAAAAATTCATAAAATTCATGAAAAAGTCACAACTATTTAGAAACCCAAATTTTTGAAAAGTGTCAACAAAAATAAAAACATGGGGTATGGGTATGTTATCATTGTGGAGATCCTTCTCATAAGATCAATGAGTGTACCTTTGGTAAAGAAACTGAGAGAGTTGACAATATTCGCTTAAGAAATGAGAAATGGACCAAAAGGATAACTCGCTAAACTGTATTCCCACTACTTGTTATGATGTTTTTTCTCTAGTGAAAAGACCCATTGAAAAATGGGTCAGTGTGTCCTAATTTTTTTCTTAGCACTGTAGGGTAAGGAGAATTTTTGGTATCTTGATAGTGTATGCTCCAGGAATATGACAGTTTGTAAGTCTCTCATGAGTGATTATGTTGAAAAAGATAGCCGTATAGTGACATTTGGAGACAACAGAAAAGGAAGAACTAAGGGGTTTGGATCGATTCAGTACAGGACTATGGAATTCAAGGATGTTTCCTATGTCAAAGGTCTGAGACATAATCTCATCTCTATCAATCAACTTTGTGACACTGGCTATAAGGATTACTTCAGCGAGAAGGAGGGAAACATCACTGATTCAAAGAATTTAATCTTGCTCACTGCTATCAGGAAAAATGACATTTAGGTGCTTGATGTATTTGGCTTCATAGGTATTTATTGTTTTGTATTTTTAGTGCTTTATTACTTTGCTTTAAAAAAATACAAAACTACAAAAACAAGTCTTTTTCTTTAGAAAAAAACATAGTTTTCATTTTTACCAAATGAGTATACATTGCAAGCATATATTTCTCTCATTATTAATTACTAGTGTTTTCTTTTCTCTTACATTTCAAGACTTAGAATCATCTATCTTTTAAATTTAATGTTGACATACATCCCGTTTCTCTTTAGAAAAGACCAACTTGCCTACTTCTTCACACCATTTGTTGCAAGATCTTATCATTGAGTCTGATTTCTCGAACCATTCTCAAAGTCTATACATCTTTTCTTCAATGCATGCATTCTTCACAGTGAAGATGACGATTAGGGTGATAGGCATTGACCGTCTTACCATCAACAGGAGATAAGAAAGAACTGTGTCTAGACAAAATGTTCGAAATGCTCTCCTTGCCTTATCTTGGACCCCTAACCCATTAAGACATGGTCAGATGAAGATAATGAGCATGTCACGTCTAATTTCCATAGACTCTCTCGCTACTACACCGAGCCGCATCTAAGATCCAAAGAATTCATTGTCAAAACAATAATCCTTGCTTCTCATTATGTAGTTCATAATATTTTGTCCTTCGAGTCTTCTCCTGTTGACTTTCATGACTCGAAGGTTACAAAGATTAGATCTTCTTAACTCATTTGTTACAACGAATTTGTTGCTTCATATATCTTCTCATTGTGATGAATATGAAGCTTGGAGTCCATTAGAATGATTTTGTCTTCACAAAATAAGAACTCCTCTCTATCTCCATGTTTTCATACCTAATCTCTATTTTTAGTTTTGTTTGGAGGTGTAACATGTTTGCTAATTTGTCTCTCTTTTATAGATAGAAGATGGTGTGGTGGGATTCTTGAAAATAGGAAGTACTTTATGAACATTCAATTTAAAAGATACACCATATCGGGTCATTATGATCTTTCTGAAAAAGCTACATATTTTCCTTTTTGACTTTTTTCTTTTGACGGTTTCTTTTGTTTTTACTTATTTTCTTAATTCTTTCATGTACCGTATTAAACGAATTGATGGTGAATCATTGATTCTAGACTGAAACTGTAAACATAACTCTTTGATGCTAGGAGTTGAACCACTCTCAGTTGATGAGTTACAAATTGTCTATTATTCACACTGATTACACCTCAGTGTGGCTGAGACATCCTTTTCTCTCACAATAAGTCTTATATCATAAAACTTGATTATTCACTATACGATACCATACACTGATAAAAGTTTAAAATTTTGAGCCGATGGTTAAGCTCTGTACCGTAGTTTATCACACGCACCAACCCTTTCTTGCCCTATTTCTCTTCTTTAAAGTTTTATGATCCACATATGATAATAGACACTGATGAGAACTTGAAAAATTTATGTCGATGGGTATATCATGTACCATGATATATTACACGCACCAACCCACTCTTTCCCAACAAAGCTTCTAAAAAATAATTTTATGATTCACTATATATAAGCCATACACTGATAAAAATTCGACATTCTTTGCCGATAGGTGCATTCCATACAAGAATGTATTACATGCATGATGTCGTTCTCTCCCAAATTTTCGTCTAATAAAAGAAGTTAATGATTCGATGTATAAGACCATACACTGATGAGACTTCGTGTTACACCCTCGGCCGAGGCAGCGGAACATGTCAGGCTGTGCGACTTAGTTCATGGATCACAAGCAAATTGAATATACCTCACAAGAACAACAATAACAACACAATAATTATATTCCACTTTCAAGTTTGAATACATGGTTCATACAGATAATAATAGTAAGTACATGATTTTTTCTTTAACAGATAGGCCGATATAACAAAAACTAGAGAAAACTAGGTTGCCTGAAATCCATGAACATTTCTTCTGCTAAAATCTGGTTCAATGGTCTCCTGAGAATACATGTAGTTTGAGAGTCAACACAAAGGTTGGTGAGAGTTACATGCTTTCTGCTAACCACAGTAATGATACTTCTAAAAAGTCTAAAAAGTATTTCTCTTGTAATTAAAACCATGTTTGAAATTGTTTGATAAAGAGAAAAATCATAAGTAAATCCATACTTAAAATGTTTAATGAAGAGAGAAATCATAAGGTGGTAGTCCTTTATGGCATGCGATTTTTGACATATATTGTCACGTAAAATCATAACTTTGTTGTAGTGAAATGGTATGTTATTTTGACTAGTTGTAACATGCCAAACAACTATAACACATATATATATATATATATATATATATATATATATATATATATATATATGAATCACGTTTGTAACCAGTTTTTAGTAAACAATATGACAATGTATAAACTAGTAATATTTGTAACCAAGATACGATTTTTCACGAGAGTTTTGCATAAACAAAACGATTAGGCACATGTATCCTCCTCCTCCTCCCCCCAGAAAATATATAAAAGCATTAAAAAGGGCCGTAAGCACTCACCCTTGAAGCGTGAGTCTGATTCGTTCAGAGTTGGTTCCTTTTTGTGAAGCTTGGCATGAGAAACCGCAGTTTGATGCTTTTCGAGTTTAAAACAAACCATCAGGGTTATCTCTGTTACCTAATAAAACAAAAAAAGGGGAGGGGTTGGTATTATTTACAAGGGTGGGGGTGGTTTCGTAACTTAACTAACTATAGGGGTTGTTTTGCTATTTAACTAAATCATAAGAGCTGATTTGCTAAAATCACCCAACAAGGGATTGTTTTGGTTGATCTTAACCAAATGAGGATACATGTTGATAAAAATGTGATATAGTTTGGCAAATGGATTAATTTTGTAAACCATTTCCAAGGGAGGGGATGGTTAATTAATTTAAATCAAAGAAGGAATGGTTTTGTAATGTTGATCAAAAGAATGGTCACTTTTAAATAAATTTAAATGAGGTTTAGGAAATCGTTGTCTCCTTCCTCTGTTTTGTTTGTAGATCGAACAAAAGAATGAGACACATTTACGTAAGGTCTCTTCGATCTCACCGAGCCACAGACGAAAGGAAGTAACGGCCCAAAAATGGTGGTGGCTGAATGGATGGTCTTACGGTGGTAGTGGGTCGTCCTTGAGTGGTGCAACACAGTGGAGATAGGCGGAGTGGGTCGTGTGGGGTGGTGGCAGTCGGCGACTCCGACTATTATTCGCAATACTGTGTTTTCTTCCTCGTCGGCAGTGAAGAGGAAAGGAGGGTGGCAGAGCTAGAAGGCCGCAGGAGGTGGTTGTGGTTCTCAGAGGTGTTGATGGGATGTCCTAGGATGGTGTTACATGTCGGAGGACGGTGGTAGAGCCTGATGACAGTCGGCGGTTCCACCTGCCTCTATCTTTCGTCGTCGACAACTAAAGGCTCGAAGGGAAGGCGGCGGAGGATAGGAATGATGGTGGTGGTTTATATGGGTGAGGGATGCGGAAGGGGTTGCTCGGCCCAATGTCATAAGCATCGTTGCATCCATTCTTGTCTAGTGAAACAACAGATGAAGAAACGCGTTTGATTGGGGGAGGGATCTATGTTTTTAGAGAGAGAGAGAGAGAGAGAGAGAGAGGTAAATAGTATGAGTAAATAAGGAAAAACATGGATATTGAATGAACATGGGTCAAAGGATCTGTGTTGACTCTTTCTTGTTTGAAAGCTACACATGCATGAAAGCATGCCTTTTGTGTCCCCCTTTGATTTATCCCACACACAAGTCGCTTCGATCTACGTGACATTAGTTTCGGAGCCTGTAAAAATATTTCAAAAGTGACTGTAAAATGTCACGGTCATGGTGATTTCAAATATTCAAACAGAATTCAAATCCAATATATGGATCTCCGTGAAACCGCGTTCGAAGTTTCGTGTTAATCGGGTTCTGATTCGTTAGTTTTGCAAATCTGATTTCAATTCGAGCTAAAAATATTAGAATAGTAAAATCAAATACTAGACCAAAGTATGAGTTCATAAACATGTTCAAAATTAATTTACGAGATGTGTAGCTACCTCAAACTGATTTGTGTAGTGTCCGGTACCGGGTAAAATCAAGTATATACCTGTTTAAAAGCTTAAAACATGCATAACTTCCTCATACGATATCCGTTTTGGACGTTATTTATATGCATAGAGTGTTGAGAAGATATTCTATCCACTTTTATCATCCATGGCCCCCATGTAGGTCAAATGCAAAATTTTGATTTTTAGGGCATTAGATCTCACTAAATTTTGAATTGCTTCAAGTTTGATGTCGATGGTCATCCTTTCGAGCGTTTTGAGGTATCCTGGAGGCACTT